TATTTAAAACATTTCTTACAATCTAAAAAAAAGTTTCTTTCTTTAAATAACTGCAAAGTGTTTTGATAAGCCATTAAAAACAAATCAACCAATCTTCTTTTCTGAGCGATGTTGCGCCTTCTTTCGGCACTGCTTCTACTTAGCTTGAAAATAGCGGCAAACCATATTTTGCACATGTAATTGACGATTATAAGGAAATGGAATGGATTTCAACAAGGCGATATTTTATAGTTTTGTTTTTATCTGAGTAACAAAGGAGATAAAATACATGCGTAAAAAAGCAAAAGAAAGAAGACATTATAAGTTATGTGGATGATACACGAGCACATGTGTGTATGTAAAAGTTCAGTCACTAAGGAGAATGATATTCCCATGCCTGGGTAAAAGGTCCTGTAACGGGGTTGATGCTGAGTTTATTAAAGTAATTACCTCGTTATATATATTTGTAGTTGATAGAGGACTTCTTTTCTTTTTTACTGAAAATGAAATGGATAAAAACGTACAGCGATAACAACAATATGACTTTGAGACACATATTGAAATTAATGACAAGAATGTGTATTTATTCTTTTCGTGATGTTAATTGCAATATTGGTATTGTGTGCGTTTAAAAATGTTCTGAGTGTTATTGTCTGTTAGTAAGTTTATGCTTACTTGTTTTTGCTTGTTCTGAGAATTTCGCTGTTAAGTATAGTCTTTGAGACCGTCAACTGTCGATTTTCACGGAGTGATGGTGATACATCTGTGTCCCTTTTTACTACTGCTCTACTCTACTGACTTCACTTGTAGCGGAAGGGTCGTTTTTATAATGATTTTTAGAATGATGAAATATCCTTATCATGTATCATCACTGGTGGCAAGGTTGTTTTTTTTTAGAATGATTGAATTTTTTTTATCTTCATTTCCAGAATGATTAAATATCCTTATCATCAATCATCACTGGTGGAAAGGTTGTCTTTAGAATGATGAAATATTATTATTCTGGATCATAACAGTGCCATGGGCGTCGTCGATACAGCATGCTGGGAAGAACAAAAACAGAGAAGATTGAGAAAGCAGGAAGTGTCGCGTTACTTGACAGCGCCCTCTAACGACTTCTTTTCGAAACTGGTGAAGCAATACGGGGATAACTGATAATTTTGATAAATTTATTTTTCTATTATGAAAATGTGAGGCCATGTAAATTTGTAATCACCAAAAGTATTGGTTTATTTACAAAATGTGAGATCGGCTAAGATTTTTAAGACTGAAACTCATAATTTAATGTATTTTTTACGCTGAAATTCTTGATTTAGTGAAAAAAAATTAAATTAGTGTTATTATTAAAGCAATTGATTTAGTCAGTAAATAGTATTTTAACCTTCGATACTCACTGAGATCGATGAATTTTTAATATTTACTGAAGCGGCGCAAATTTGGATGTTTTTGGCGCTAAAGTTTCTTTTGTTTTTTATCATTAGATAACTTCTTTGTGTTCTTGTATTTTTTGCATTTTTTAAAATCATTTCATGCCAAGCAAGGCGATGGCACCACTAAGACGCAATGGGGTTATTGAGCTTGAAAGAAAATGATGGAAAAACACTATTAAGTAGAGAGAACAATAAAAAAAAAAAAAAAAACAAGAATAAAGAAGATAGTCATTGCATTTATATTTTTGAAGATTGACTGGGAAGCAAGACGCCAGAAGAGAATTCCACAAGCGAGAAGTGCGAGGAAAGAAACTGTCAGCATAGAACTTACGGCCATATCTAGCCATTTCAAATGTAAAATGATGACTTTCCCGTTAATCTAGTACTGCGCTTAATTTCATAAAGTCTAGGTACCAAAGAGGAAAGCTCATTAGAACAATTACCATGAAAGTATTTATAGAAAAAGGCACAGGCAAGCGACATTACGGCGGTGAAAAGTGACTGAAACCGAGATGTCACATCAGGACCAATAATATTGCAGATAGATCGCTATTCTGTTGTAATTTCACTGATTATCAAAACTTTTTTCTCTCTTTAAATTATAAAACAATGCAGTGAGTTTTTGATAAATCATTCAATTCCTCTTTCATTGTTATTTTTAATCATCATGTTATAGACAAGCGTATGGTTGCAAGAAGGAAATACAACAACAGCAGAAATAGATTTACGTGATTTATTTCAATAGGGACGTGTGAGTTTGGGACAGCTACTTTGTGGTATAGTTCATAAGCCGGCTGCCGATCTGGGTTGATCTCTCATAGTAGTTCTCATTGATTGGCGTGGCGCTCCTCCTGCTGACTGCTGCTGACTGACCGTGACAGGTCTCTTTCTTGGCCTTCTGTTGACTGCTGTTGTACTTCCCTGTGTGACCCCTTTTATGGCGTTTTTTATGGCTTAACAGGCTCGTAAAACGACGCGAGTATAATTAGGAGGGAAGCATTTTTATTGGTCGAAAAATAGAAACACTTTAAAATATTATTTTATTTTTCGACCGGAACTCGTGCGTCGGGAACATGCGTAAACGAAGATAATGGTCATTTTGTGACGGGGCCTTGTCCCGTTCACACCCGGCCCTCGCTCTTGAGTATGTCAGTTTATTTGCCTGTAAATCAGCCGAGATATGTCTTATTTTATTTTATAACAATCACCATTATTAACCATTTGTCAAATTACATTTCTTGCTTCTTTGTATGTGTACTTGAGGCCCTGTGTCTTACTAGCTTGTGCACTTGAGGCCTTGTCTCTGATTTAGCTAAGACTATTAAGTACTTGCTTGTGACACTTCCTGCACGTGTATATATCTGAATAGGCGTTTACATTTATCAGGATATTGACGACTAAAACATTGTCAATTCTCCTATCGCGAAATATTTCTTTGGCCTTCGAGCTGATATGTCACTATGGCGACAAGAGCTTCATAAACTGATCATTGTTTTGGCTTCAGAATATAATTAGAGGTCACCAGGGAGATAATTCTTTTCTTCTAGCGAAGGATTTGATGAATGTATGGAAGAATTATTTTGTACAAGAAATCAAAATACGAAAAATAAAGTTCTTCGTAATTTGACGAATCTGTTGTCTTAAAAAAAAGAAGCAAACATACTTAATTATAAAATTTTATTTCAGTTTGATGGAACTCAAAATCGATTTAAATATTTAGCTGAGTTACATGTTTAGATGATTTACATGTTTAGACAATTTACACATTTAGCTGATTTACATGTTTAGCTGGTTTTACATGTTTAACATTTTTCAAATTTGTCATCTTTTAAAAAAGAGAAGCAGACTATCTCTCCTAATTATAAAATTTTATTTCAGTTTGATAAAACTCGAAATCCGCTTATATGTTTAGCTTATTTACATGTTTAGCTGATTAACATGTTTAAATGATTTACATATTTAGCTGGTTTTACATGTTTAAACGTTTTCGAATTTGTTTAAAAAAAAAAAGAAGCATACTCGCTTTCCTAATTGTAAAATTTTATTTCAGTTTGATAGAACTCGAAATCTATTCATATGTTTAGCTGATTTACATGTTTAGATGAGTTACATGTTTAGTTGATTTACATGTTGATCTGATTTTGCATGCTTAATTTTTTTCGAATTTGTTGTGTTAAAAAAGAAGCATACTATCTGTTCTCATTATACAATTTTATTTCACAGTAATAGAACTCGAGATCTATTTATATGTTGAGCTGGTTTACATGTTAAACAGAATTTACGTGCTTAAATGTTTTTGAAATGTCATCTTTCAAAAAAAAAAAAGAAAGTGGAGCATACTAGCTCTCCTAATTGTAAAATTTTATTTCAGTTCAATAGAACTTGAAATACATTTACATGTTTAATTGATTTACATGTTTAGATAATTTACACGTTTAGATGATTTTACATGTTGAGATGATTTTCTGTCTGCAGTTAACATAGCGATTATCGGCGAAGAAAATAAAATTGCCGAGTGAAAAATGGAATTTTTATTTTAAGCATATCACTCTAAGCAAGGTGGGGGGAATTCCACTAACACGCAAGGGTTTACAGAGAGTGAGATCAAGAGCAAAGAGGGGTGTCTGAGGAAAGGATATAGAAATGGACGGGGATCAAGATCAAGGCATCAGAAGATGTCGATTGGCATTACATTTGAATATTTGAACATTATAGCTACCAGGGAAACCAGTAAGAGGAAGGGAGTTCCACTGTCGTGAAGCTGTTGGAGTAGAAGAGACAGCTACATTTAAACCTTTAGACAGTGAAAGGTTGGGACCGAGATAACAAACTAGTAGCACGCTTAAATTCATGCATTTTGGGAGCCAGTGAAAGTAGCTTGTTAGAGCAGTTGCCATGAAAATAGTTGTAAAAAAAGACAGAGGGAAAACACAGCACGTTTGTAAGAAAGTGACTGTAGATGAGATGCCAGCTCAGGACCTATCACATTGCATATCCGTCTCTGGATTTTGTCAAGGACTTCGAGTTGAACAGCGGGCTGCACCAGACTATATATGGCAGCAGTATTCAATGCAAACGTCTCAAAAAGTTTCCAGTTCACAGATAATAAAGAATGAGTATCTGGACACTATTTCAATTGACTGGTCCGCTTATAAAAAAGAAATAATTATTTTGAAGGACTTTTGCAAATTAGCTTTCATTAGACTTTCTTCAAACCATGACATTTATCAGAAATTATAAATATTGATTTTTAAATAATTGTAAAAACAGTTTCGAATCGATCCTAGATTTCTTGGAAAGTTATACATACTTGCAAATGTCAAGTTTGAAACCAGCCTTACGTCAATGATAACTCCCTACAACTGGGGCTGTCACTTTTCCTAATTCTTAATTTTACGGAGTAATCAGTGAAAGAAAGAAAAAAGAAAACATAAATAAAAAGAAAGAGAAAATAAGAATAAGAAAGAAAGGAAAAAGAAAGAGAAAGAAAAGAAAACGGAAAGAAAGACAGAAAGAAAAAGAAAAGAAAGCAGAATGAAAAGAGAATGAAAAAAATAAAGGAAAATTAAACTAAAAAGAAACAGAAAGTAATTAAGAAAGAAAGAAAGAAAGAAAGAAAGAAAGAAAGAAAGAAAGAAAGACAGACAGAGAAAGAAAAGAAAACAGAAATAAAAGAAAGGGGCAAAGAAGCAGAAAGGTTGAAAGAAAGAAAGAAAGAAAGAAAGAAAGAAAGAAAGAAAGAAAGAAAGAAAGAAAGAAAGAAAGAAAAAGAAAGAGAGGTTGAAAGAAGGAAAGAAAAAAGTAGGTAAATACGAACGAAAGAAAACAGAAATAAAAAAGAAAGGGGAAAGAAGCAGAAAGAAAGAAAAAAGAAAGAACGAAAGAAGAAGAAAGAAAGAAAAGATGAAGGAAAGAAATAACGAAGGAAAGAAAAAGAAAGAAAGGACGAATGAAAAAAGAACGAAAGAAAGGAAATAGCCAAATTAAAATCAAATTTTGAACTTTGTTGACTCTGATAAATTGTAAAGCTGAAATTCAAAATTTTATAACCGACATGATTTTGTCAAAACTGGTTCATGAATTCTGCAATCAAAATGATTGCTATGGAAGTAATTATAGTTGAAGGTGTTGTCATTATAGTAACATGAATAACATTTGAAAGGAATACTCTACTCATGCCTTTCCACTAAACACCCCTATACATTGATTAGTCACTCATTAGTAAAGATTTACCTTTATTATTAGACATGTAACCAAATGCCACTGCTTGTTTAAACAGTCGCAAATAAAAATAATACAATAACTATATCTTTTATATCAAGAAATAAGAAATAATAACAGTCTTATGGTATCAAATTTGCAAATCATTGGAATCTGAAGCAATTTGTCTTGATTTTATTGATAATCATCTAAGAGTCACAAAGGAGATTAAAAATCTTCCTTTGATTCAATTGACAAAATGGTCGCCTTCTTCTACATTGTTCTCATTATTGATTAATAATTTTTCCTGATTCCTGCGAGGACAAATATTAGTCTGTTGGAATAAAGTCTGGAATATTCGTAAATCAAGAATAATTGGCCTGATTCTTTTTACTGAAGCAATGTACTGGTCTTCTTTCGTATTGGCCAGCCAATCAGAAGCGAAGACAAACGTTAAATGCGGGTTATGTTTGAGCGTAGAAAAAATTAGGTAGACATAAAACTAGGACTGGGCTATTTTCGAATCTTCCTGGAATTAAGGCAAAGGATTAATATCAGGGGTTAATGGATTAAATCCGACTTATTGATCAAGAGAAATGTGGTTAGTCTTGTGAATAAAATAGTTATATATTTTCCAACAGTGCCAGAGATCAAGCTCCACGCCCTACAAAAAAAAAAAAAAAAAAAAAAAAGAAAAAGAAAGAAAGGAACTCCATCACCAATCTTGATTTCTTAGGCGTGAAGGTTGAAAAACTAATGTAGCATAAAATATACAACCAAATTCCTACTCTTTTGATTTACTAAAGTTCATTTATTAGAATAAACTTTATTTTTTAGAGGCTAGACGTGTTTGCGTTGTTATTCCTGTTTTTTTATTTATTTATTTACTTAAACATTGAAGTTAATAGAAAAATTGTGCCCACTTTTTCTTTAGTAACACTTCTCAGTATCGGGTGGTTATTAATTTCACTGATTAAGAAAATAAAAATCAGGGATCTCAAATACGGGCACCCACTAAAAATAACGTGTTTTTTATTATTATTATTATTGTTGTTGTTTTCTTTGATTTCTGGCGTTTACACATTTATTTCCGGGTCCCGCCCATGGACCTAAGGTTAGAAATGGCATCATGACACTTTCCACTAACAAAAAAAAAAAATATTACATAGATAAAGCCCTTCGTAAAGTGTGGGCTGTACTTGTCAAAACAATTTTTTGTATCTCCTTCAGGCATGGACTTCCAATAATCCCTTCAATTAGTCTACTGCAATCTTTCCCAACCAGTCCTAGGGCTCCAACTACAACAGGAATTGTTGATGTTCCCATATGCCACATTTTCGAGATTTCTATTTCAAATTCCTTGTATTTTGACAGCTTTTTGAATATCTTCAAAGATACATTGCAGTCAGCAGGGACTGCCATATCAATAAGGAGGCACTTTTTTGTTTGTGGCCTTTAATAACAATATCTGGGCGGTTGGCTTTGATTGTTCTGTCAGTGTGTATTGTGTAGTCCCATAGAATTGTAACAGGTCCTATCTCCGTAACCGGGTCTGGGTGGTGTTCATACCATTTTCTTTCAGTTTCCTTCCCGTAGAAGTTGCAGATTTTCCAGTGCAGATATTGGACCACTCTGTCATGTCGGGTTTTATATTCAGTGGGTGCCAATATCGTGCAACCTGATAGAAGATGATCAATCGTTTCTGGATATTTATCACAGAATCTGCATTTTGGGCTGACACAATCTTTTAGTATATGTGCTTGATAATTTCTCGTTAGCAAGAATTGGTCCTGTACAGCAAGGATAAAACCTTCAGTTTCAGCTTTCAACCCTGCACTACGTAGCCACTGATGTGTACGGGTTTTGTCTACGTCAGCTTGTTTGGTATGGGCAGAGTATTGACAATGAAGCGGTTTATCTTGCCATCGCTTCTGTATCTGGTCGGTTGCATTCGTCTTTGCTGTCTTTTTTTAAGTATTTTGCAGTTTCAGCCGGTGTATTGTGCTGTACTTGCATCTCTACGCCCATTTGAAACTCAATTTTGAATTTGTTGGCTTCTTTTATTACGGAGTAAAGACGCTTACTACTTTCATGTTCCTTGACGCATACCACCATCCAGTCTTCTGTAGTTTCCAAGTATCTTTGGAGGCCAATTGTTGCAGTTTTGTGGGACAGTTCTAGTTGAACTAATCCTCTGCCTCTTTCGGATCTGGGCACATACAGACGATCGACATCAGCTTTGGGATGATGCATGCGATAGCAAGTGAGAAGCTTTCTCGTTTTGGCGTCCATTCGCTTAATTTCAGCTATGGTCCAGTTAAGGATATTAAAGCTGTATTGCACCACAGGGACAGCCAATGTGTGTATAGCTGATATTCTGTTTTTTGAGTTTAGCTCAGTATTTAGTACCAGAAGTACACGCCTGTAGTACTCTTTTCTTATTTTTTCCTTTATTTGGGGATGTTTTATTATTATTATTGATGATGATGATGATGATGATGATGATGATGATAAGAAGTGAGGAGTGAAATTAAAATAATACTTTTTTGCCATTCTGGTAGCGTACTTTGGAGTGATGGAGTAATGGATCGCGGCTCGGATTAAAAAATCAGAGAGCCGAGTTCGAATTCCAGTCGAATCCATTACATTCACTTACATGCTAATATCCTTGGGAAAAATATGAGTCCTCTACACCCGGCTTTGGGTAAATAGTTCTTTAACCTTGGATGGAAACTGGTCTACCAGAAAATGGCAACCTACTGCGGAAAAAACTCTAACGCCAAAGCGTGTGGCACATAATTAGCTGACTTTATATTTAGCTGTTCTAACTCTTTTTTTATTGTGTCCAACGGATATGGTTTAGCAGCACGCATCATTAAAATGTCCATAAAATTCCGTATAAGCAGTTGTTAGCTATCAATGTCTCTAAACGTTTCTTTTTTTTAAAAAAGCCAATGAAAAACTATATAGATCTATTGTTTTGTTGGATTATCATGGGTTTAGTCTGTACAAGCAATTAAAAAAATATTTGTCCAGCTTTGCTTGAAAAAATCCTTGATTTTCCTTGAAATGCATGTTAGAATTGCATGCCGACCCCAGGAAACCCAAACTGATATAGATAAAACGATGGCTTGTAAAATCATATTTGCAATAACCTTTATCATTGTTGGCATGGCCAAACTAAATATTCCTGGCTGTAGGAAAACATGATAATTAAAACCGGATTTTTCAAATCTTTATCTAATTAAAAAAAAATATCTCTGCATTATTAATCCATGATCGCCTAAATCTTGGTTACCTCTTATATTAAAAAAGAAAGCAAACCACCATCAATAAAATTTGTTTCACTCCAGGACTGAATGTGTTAAACTGTGAAGTAATTTTGTCATGTGATTCTGATTTCTATAGTCAGTCACGGTACGTTGATTTAGTACCGACGTTAACTTCAAACATTAAACAAAGAGCAAATCACAGACGTTATAATTACTATTTCTTGATCCCCCCACCTTGTAAAAAGAGTGAAAAGTCGAGAAATAGTTTCATTTCTTTTCTTCATTTAGTGGGCATCATTCTTAGCTGATCGTGTGACTCTTAACAGCCAATCAGCAGAGTTTTATTTTTACAGAAAAAAACAAAATTTTTGTAGACGCCCGAAGGGAAAAACGTGTTTCTGACTCGTGAGTTACGACAGTCCTTCGCAACATCCTTTTTTCAGAGTCGAGGAGAAAGCATGTAAGGAATTTTTATGCTTGTTATATTTTCGTTTTTATAAAATACAACTTCATTTTTATTCTTCTAATTTCTTTCTGGACATCTTTAATTATTTCTTGCTTGAGTAGGTTTCTGCTTAGACGTCTAGATGTCAGCAAACACACCAAACATTAATTTAGTGACCCAGCAACTTCTTTCTGTAAAAACAAAGATGATCGAAAGCGGTCGAACTATATAACATAATTTCGCTGAAGTTTTCAGTTGATATTAAACGTCTTAGAAGTTGTTATGAGAAACTTAAAAATAGACATTTTATGCCTAAATATACTATTAAATATGAATATTGTAGGAGTTATCCCCTCCTTAGTTCTCTAATTCTTCATCAGAGGTCTCTCTCCCCATGCTATAAATACCGGGCGACCTTTTGCCTCGTTCCCTTTTTCCCTCAGGCCTCGTGCCGCATTCCACCTCGCGTGGAGGTGAGGTAAATCTCTTTTACTTCTTCATTTCAGCGACAAGATGTAAGCTCTTAGAAGATCAGCGTTTCCCATTTCTGGAAAACGCTATGAACATTACAAACATTCATCAAAATAACATTCAGCAAAGAACACACTCAATGTTATATCTATGTGCTTTGTAATTTGCTTAATACATATTTGTTGATATATATATATATATATATATATGTGTGTGTGTGTGTGTGTGTGTGTGTGTGTGTGTGTGTGTGTGTGTGTGTGTGTGTGTGTGTGTGTGTGTATATATCTGTCTTGTTTGTCTTCTTTCATCTTCGGTTGGACAAATTAAGTTCGCCAATTTTCATGTAGTTGGATCTTTTAATATTCTACCAGGAGTTACACACGTGTTTCTAATACAACAACACGTAAATACAGGCACGGTCCTCTACAATATGCGCGCGTGGCCAAGAGGTTAGAACGTTAACTTAGAAACTCAGGTTCGAATCTCACCATGGCCGATTTGTCAGGAAGGTGTATTATTGATGTTATCAGTCTGAAAAATGAATGGAAACCATACCACGAGTTGACCAAAGCGTTATGAGTGTAATTGAGCAGACCGAAAAGTCCACAAAGATTGATTTGTCACAAGTTAACGAGGATTTAAGTTCACTGGTTTTTATTCAATTTGCTGATCATGCGTGATTATAAGTTATCGCCCAGAAAATGTAACTAATGTCCACTCAGCTTAGTTGTAGCGGGTTCTTTGAAAAACCGTCAATATGCCTGAGCATCTTCTACAACAGAGATTGGCTAGCCGCGTAGCTGCCCTATATATATATATATATATATATATATATATATATATATATATATGTATGAAGAAATATTGTCTTAAGGTGTGCTATATTTATGGGATAAAGTGTTCAATATCAGATATAGAGCGTCTATAAATATAAAGGTGAACATTGAAGTCAACACTTAGAGGCGACAGGCTGTTTCATGTTAAACGCAATCGTCAGGCCTAAAGTCTAGCATAAAACAGACTGTCGCCTCTAAGTGTTGAATTCAATGTTCACTGATATATATATATATATATATATATATATATATATATGCACTAACAACCGGGCATAAAATTTATATATATATATATATATATGTGTGTGTGACAATTTAAATTTATTCAAATATCCTAATTTGTTTGAGAATTCCAAAAACAAAATTATTCAAAATATAAAATTTGAAAGTTTAATTATCTTAAATGACGCTGAGTTAAACAGGAAATTTATCTACATATTCCTCTGAAATATCAGCATTTTTTTTTTTTTTGGTAATCATGAATTTAATGAAAATTTTATAATAAATTATTAACTCATGGGAAATGTATCGAAATCCATATGCATAAGTTTGTTTTGTGGGCTACCCGCATATACGCACATATCTCTACACGATGGCGAATGACAGGAGATATTACAAACAATTAGCAACCAACCAGTTAGCGGTAAAAAAAAAAAAATTAATGGCTCATCACCTGGCTTCTAGAGAATCGGTTTCGTTTTGAGCAAGGTGGACGAAGTGGAGGGCATATCACATGTCCGTTCAGAGGGAATAATTTATCAACCGAATGTTTACAATTAGTTTTCAAGACTCCAAAGCCAGTGAACCGTTAGTTAATCCGAAAACAAATAAAAAGCGAGCCGGAAACTTAAAAAGTTAGTAATAGAGGATTTTTTTTTCGTGTCAAAAGGACTACTCGGTACTGCAGCAAATTAAAAATAATTTAAAAAAAAACTTAGATGGCCGCTACACAGAAAACACCAAATATAGATTCAGAGACACCACCTGCTAATTGATTGTTTTCTTTCTTCTTCTTTTAATGCACATACACGAAAAATCCTCCTCTTTCTTATCAGCATATACTCTTTCTTTCAGTCACACACATACATATTTACAGAACTCTTTTGACTGGCTGTAAACTCCAAATATTATCTCTTTAGAACCGTGTAATACATTTTTGTAAATATCAATTCTTCTGACGTGCCTTAACTAAACCTAACACTGTCGGCCACGAAGAAGCTTTGTCGATCAAGCAAGGTCTGGGCAGTGCCTTTAAGCGAAATCCTTTTTGTAATAGAATCGTCAAAATTATCACATCCGGTCAATTTCGTATCCAAACGTATATGAGTATCCGCTAAAATAACTTTTAAAGTGGTAAAAATCTGTAGGATTAATGAATAAGTGCATTACTTCTTTAGAGAATTACTTTGTTTCCAATCATGGACAATATGCTACCGGCACATTGACCATCTGTTACTGGGGCTTGATCATTTTTTACAGGCTTGTGTACCATATACAGTGTAACCCGGATATAAGAGACCCGGATATAAGAGAAACCCGGATATAAGAGAGATTTTCTCTGGTCCCAAATTAGAGCCTGTGTTAATGTATATAAAATAGACCAAACCCGGATATAAGAGAAACCCGGATATAAGAGACTTCTTCTCCGGTCCCGACAACTCTCTTATATCCGGGTTACACTGTATACCTGACTTTGCACCGTTTGGTACAGGGCCGTTGGCTATTTTGTAGCGGGCCGTGGTCATTTTGTACCAGTCCGTAGGCCATGTGCTACTGGACCGTGGACTATTTGGGTCATTTGCTACAGGGCCGTGGATCATATATCACCAAGATTGGCACCATTTGGTACATGGCCGTTGATCTACTTGCTACTGGGTCGTGTAAAATTTGCTATAGGTCCTTGGGTCATTTGCTACAGTGCCGTGGATTATATACTACCAGTATTTGTACCATTTGGTACAGGGCTGTTGACCACGATCTACCGGGCCGTAGACCATGTGCTACCGGGCCATAGACCATTTGCTTACAGAACCGTGGGATATATACTACCGGGTTTCATTTGCTATTGGCCGATGACAATTTGTTACTGCCCGTTGATGATTTGTTACCGCAAATTAACCATTTTTTAGCTGGCCGTGGGCTATTTTGTAAAGGGCCATGGACCATTTAGTACGATGTCTTGGACAATTTTGTACCGGCCGTGGATCATTTACTACCGGACCTTCAGCCATTTCTACCGGGATGTGGCTCATGTGCTACAGGGCCATGGGCCATATACTACAGGGCTTGGTATCAGTGGGTACAGGGCTGTTGACATATTTGCTAATGGACCGTGGACCATATGCTATCGAGCCACGGACCATGTGCTACTGGGTCGTGGACCATATTCTGCCGTGCTGATGATCATTTTTTCCTTCTATTGAACACTTGGTAAAGGGCCCGTGCGTTATTTGGTAAAAGGCCATAGACCATTTACTACAATATCTTCAAGCTTTTTGTACTGGGTCATAGACCATTTTTTTAACGGGCCTTAGGTCATTTGCTATCGGACAATAGACCATATGCTACCGGCCTCTTGAAAATCTGTTACCGAGTCTTGGTCATTTCCTACTGTTCCGTGGACTATATGCTAACAGAATTTGCACCATCTGATACAGGGCCGTTGACTCTGATACCATGTGGTACCGGGTCGTGGAAAATATGTTGCAGAACCGTGGGATATATATTACCAAGCTTTGCACTATTTTGTACAGGGCCATTGAATCATTTTCTACTGGGCCGTGGACCAAGTACTACCAGGCCGTGGACTATGTGCTACCGGGCCATTGACCATTTATTACTGCCTATTGACCATTTGTTACTGCCAACTGACCATTTTGCAGCAGGCTTTGCGCATATGTATGTGCGTGTATATTCGTATATATATTGGGGTGTATTTTTGGATGTGTGTGTATATGTACCTGTATATGTGTAGATATGTATATGTATATATGGGTGTATATATGTATGCATCTGCATGTATGTGTATGTGTGTATGTATATATATATATATATATATATATATATATATATATATATATATATAAGTGTATTGGTGTGCGCATATGTTTGAAGATATGTACATGTTTGGGTATATATATATATACAATGAAATAATCACACATAGAATCAATCAGCAATATTAATGCTATTATTGGCGACATCCATCGCTTAATCCATAGATCCTCATTTATAAAATTGTTGTCTGTTGTTTCCAGTTTATATTTTTTTAAAATGCAAGTACTTTCGAATAATCCTTTATTCATCCTTTATTCATCGTCAGGCATATGTTTTTCCTTATAAAATCAAAAACTTGAAGACGAAATAATTGTTTGTCGACCGAAAGATTTTTTTGGGGGTATCTGCTATTATTGACGGTTGTGTACAATATCGGAACGTGCAAAGACGCAACGCTAAGTTTTACAAAATTTTAAGTGAGAATTTTATTTGAACTACTACTAAGACATAACACTATATTAATTGAACTATATACTTAGTTCATGACATATTAACTGAAAAAACTTGTAAAAATTGTATACGTGGATTTACCACATCACAAGAAAAGTTCAAATAAAATTATCACTTAAAATTTTGAAAAACTTAGCGTTGCGTCTTTGCACGTTCCGATATTGTACACAACCGTCAATAATAGCAGATACCCCCCAAAAAATCTTTCTATCGACAAACAATTATTTCGTCTTCAAGTTTTTGATTTTATAAGGAAAAGATATGCCTGACGATGTATAAAGCATTATTCGAAAGTACTTGCATTTAAAAAAAAAATATAAACTGGAAACAACATACAACAGTTTTATAAATGTGGATCACGCCACTCTATGAATTAACAGTATTTTAATGCATATATTATACACTATAGCGATGGATGTCGCCAATAATACCATTAATATTGCTGATTGATTCTATGTATGATTATTTCTTTGTATATAAATTATATGCTGCCTAATGTTTTATGTTTATATATATATATATATATATATATATATATATATATATATATATATATAAAAGCGAACATAATAGTCAACACTCAGAGATGACACGCTGTTTCGCTAGACGGAATTGTCAGCCCGCCGATTGCACCTAGCATGAAACAGCCTGTCGCCTCTGAGTTTTGACTTCAATGTTCACTTTTATATTTATATTTACTTATGCTCTATTTCTGATATTGAGCACTTTATCCCATAAATATAGCACATCTTAAAACTATATTTATTATATATATATATATATATATATATATATATATATATATATATATATATATATATATATATATATGTGTGTGTGTGTGTGTGTGTGAAAATATATAGAAAATAGGAAGGAACTGGTTAGGTAAATAATCCAAAGTCCCTTAGTATTTTAGTTATTATTTTTAAAAAATAGTGCTCGATACAAAAGTAGAGCATAAATATAATTATTTATTTAAAAATATGATTCCAATTCGCGACATAAGAGGTCTCATGTTTCAAAACAAGAGCCGAAAACTTCAATATAATTATTTGAATTAAATTGAGTTAAAGTAAGCTTTGTTCCATCTTCAAGCGAATTTTTTTTTAAAATAGTTTAAATACCCTACAACAAAGATAACCCTTTATGAAATCGTCAAAAAACAAACGTTACGGCAGTTTTTTTTTAAATGCACAAATCCCTTTCATAAAAAAAAATTAAAATAAATAAATCTCCATAGCATACCAGACTAGGGTTAATACATCTTCCGTTTCAAATTTAGACACCCCCGACCTTTCCCTGACTTGACATCTATGAAAGTAACTCTATACTGATACTTATTATTAACACCCAACACACGCCTACCCAATTTAAACAATTCGCCCTAGCTGTTACCATGGAAATTTTGATTTCAATTATTAAAACACGTAAATTTCAGAAATACGTTATTCCAAAAAAAATTTCGCTTGAAGATGAAACAGAGCTTATTTTAACTCAATTTAATTTAAATAATTATATTGAAGTTTTCGGCTCTTGTTTTGAAACATGAGACCTCTTATGTCGCGAATAGGAATCATATTTTTAAATAAATAATTATATATATATATATATATATATATATATATATATATATATATATGTATGGGGGGTCTATGTGTGAAATTGTATATTGATTCCAACACATGTTCAAGGTACATATGGATTTTGTTTATATTTATGGATCTTTATATTTATATATACATAGATATATATATCATGGCTATATATATATATATATATATATATATATATATATATATATAAAGGAAATAGATATGTGTACATGTATCTTTTTACATTTATAATGTATATGTACTGAAATAATCTGTGTATACATGTGTATATATGTGGATGTGTGTATTTGTATGTATGTATATATATATGTGTGTGTGTTTGTGTGTGTGTGTTTGTGAATTTGCGTATACTATTTATATACATATATGTGATTATTTTTGTATGTATTTAGAGTTATTGTGTTATTTGCGATATATATATATATATATTTGTTTTTAATATGTACTAGCAGTAGAGCCCGGCGTTGCCCAGGGATGTAACAGTAAGAGATAGATCAAGTATCGATTATCATAAAGACTGAAAAATAAAATTGACAAAGATTATTGTTTAAGGTTGACGGACACGCATGTCTTAATTAGTTTTTTTTTTACGAATTGGTCAAACCCAAATTCAAACAAAAACATTGTTTACAATCGTTATGAGTCTATCGATTGGTGAATAGAATTTTATTATAAACAATTGTCTTGTAAATGGAATTTTTAAAGCATTCTGAATGTAAATAAAGAAAAAAGTGTGCAAGACAATAAGAAATACTATCTGCCGAAAAAAAAGTGGATGTTTGTTTTATCGGCTGAAAAATGTAAGAAATCCGATCCCATATATAAGGGAACACACACACACACACACACACACACACACACACACACACACACACACACACATACATAAACAACCTGGGTTTTTAACCTAAGTCACTCCACGGAATCGCTAAAACATAAAGCATAGTCTGATGAAAAAGACGCCAAAGTTTATGAAAACAAAATTTTATCGTCAAAATGCTTATGTTTTTATGAAGATGTTAATGAAACTTTCAGAAACTATTCACAGATGATCGAAATTATTATAAATATGTTTTTTTTTTATTAAAGTCATGGCAGAAATATATTTTTTATATTTATTAACACCCCCATAACTAATTTTATGAAAAACTCTAGAAATTCGAGACCATCGGTTTTAGTGATTACAATAGTTAAAAGCACAAGGCTTTGAAGAATGCAAATCATGTTTTTGTTTTTGTTTTTTTTTTTGGCCAACGTACCTGAAAATCAGCTGTGAATTGTAACATACAAAACTCAATAAAACAAATATATTATTTAGTTTCAAATGCTTTTATTTGTTTTAATTTGTTTTTATGAATATGGACAATATTTTCTGAAAGCAAAAAAATTTTTTCAATGAAAATTGAATTTTTTAATACAATTATTTCTTATTTCTTTAATTTTAAAAAGATTTTTAAAAAATGTTTAAATTGAATTTAAAAAAATATTTTAACATTAGTTAAAAGCAACATCAACCTTTCAAAATGTCCGTGTGAGATTGTCATTTTTTAGCGCTTTGAAAATTGTATAATTTGGACCAATCAGATTAGCCATGGTAATTAAGAAATGTAATTTTTGTGTTTATAGTCGGACAGTAATTATCAAGTACGGAAGACCAACCAGAATACAATTTAGTTGCATTATTTGAGTTCAGCATTGTTCTCCGCTGTTAAGCCCTTTACTTTTGCGAAACACGTATGGAGAAGTTAATTTGAGTTTTCAATTTCAACTGAGAAGGGTATCTACAAGTAACAGTATCATCTTATGAAATTTAACTACTGCTAAACTTTAATTTATATGATCTTATTTTTATATTAATCTCAGTTATGACATTTTTCTATAAATGAAATATCAAAATTAATAATAAAATGAATGGAAATACAAATAACACAGTAAAATGTAATAAATATACATAAAATTATAGTATTTTATGCACACTTCTGATAAAATTTCATAAGAAAGGTACCTAAATTAATTAGATACCTTTTTCTTATGAAATTTAATCTCACTATTAACAGTCTTATTTTCTAATTTCTTTATATTTTCCATAAAGCATCGTAAACGTAAAAATGAAAGTACAAAAAAAAATAAAAAATAAATAAAAAATTAGAGCGCTGAAAGTTTTCCTTAAAAGTAACAAGGTAAATAATTTGTTCACTTAAATAATTTCACTTCCTTCCATCCGTATAAAGAATTCTCCTCCC